TCTTTAAGTATTGAGAAGGGTTATAACCTTCAGAGCAATATTATATTGGATTGAATGCAGCCTCCTTTCCCCAAGGTTTGCATGCAAAAATTCACAGAATGTATCATACACCCCCAAAGATTAATAACTACATTTAATGAAATGAAAATGAAATCTCATTCTTCTTCTGGCCACACCCTCACCTTTCTGAAAGGAAGCTTTGCATGTCTTTCACAGGGCAAGGGTTGCCTTATTTATTAATATAAAATGCAATATAGGATTTTCCAGATGATTTTGATTCTATTTCCCCTTAGCCCTGTGCCAAAGGGTGAGGAATTGTCTGGTTTGCAGTCCAAGCATCAGGAGAGTCTGGGAAGGATACATTTTCTCAAGAAGTTTTAATTTGGCAGGGGCTGGGGACATAAATCATTAAGCCTCACCCACCAGGAAATTTGTCTGTCCCATTCTAATACCCCGTTTCCCCAAAAATAAGACCTCCCCGGATAATAAACCCAATAGGGCTTTTGAGTGCATGCGCTAAAATAATCTCTCCCCTGAAAATATTGCAACACAGCAGCAACCATGAGGTGACCACACTCGCCGCCTCCTGCACCTCAAAAATAATAAGACCTCCCCGAAAATAAGGTCAAGCGCTTATTTCAGGGTCAAAAGAAAATAAGACCTTTTCTTATTCTCAGGGAAACACGGTACTTATATCTCTTTTCAGATCAACTGATCTTGCTGCTGCTGTTTTATCTGCATATTATTTCAATTTGTAATTGTAGTTTGAATTTATTGTAAGCTGGCCAGAGTCAAAAGTAGTGGGTGGTGTAGAAATGTGCTGAACAAATAGATAAATCACTATTTCACACTATAATTATGGCAATAAAATTGACATTTCACAATTGGGCAGTATCTGCTAAGAATTCAATGGTAAATAAAGGTTTGCTGATAAAGCAGGTAAATGATGTTAGGATAGGTTTTCCTCATCATCTTTGCCATTGCCTTCTTGGATTTTTTTTAAAACTTCTGATTCTAATTTACAGCACTAGTATTTCCTGGTAGTTTCTCACCCAAGCTTTTTTGAGGTCAGGCACAGCCAGCTGCTGTGACTTATTATTGTCCCGAAACATTAGAAGAGTTCCAGATTGGATAAGCCTGCAATAGGATGAGCCTGACCTTAATTGCTAAAATGTACTCTTGTTTGAAAGATGTTTTCCTGGAGAAAATAATGACTCAGAATTACTGTCTTTCCTGCAGCACCAGACCAAAAGCACGTTCCAAACAAAGTGTGGGTCATAGTGGGTCTCCTCAATTTTGCGGCTTATACGCTAGGTAAGATCTGTTCATTTCCTGTGCACTATATTTATACAATTAGCAACATGTTAAATGAACATTAATGTTATTAAGACCAAATACCATGAATAAAACAGCTGCCTCTTATTACACTTACAAGTCTAGTGCAAAATACACATGCAGTCAGATTGTGCCTTATGCCCCTTACCACCAATGCTTGTGGCTGAAATAGGAGAGGATGTTTTTACCAAAGGGATAGAGAAGCTGATCTGTTCTCTGTTGCACATTCATATTTCTGAAATAGCGGTTGCTTCTCCATTTCAGTTTTATCAGGGGCAAGAAAGGAAAGCCTGGAAGATGCAGGCCCAAAGCCACAAGCAATTTGTTTTAGTTTTCTTCTGGAAGCAACATATTCTGATCCGCTTTTACACAAGGAAATAAGGGTATCTACTCCTAGTAAATTGCGAATGGTGTGTGCATAGGAAAAAAATGTAGCAAGAATACTTAAAGATGAATGCAATGATAAAAGGCCTTAAGGGTCCTGCAAAAGAGCAATTATGGATCTGTAGAAATTTTTAGGAAAATAGTAGGATTTACAGCAGAGAAAAGGGGGTGTTTTAGGGATTCTATTAACCACAATTGAAACCAAATCTTTTCTTCTGCCTCATAAAACCTCCTGCACTTTCAGCTGTTTTTAACAACAATGGCAGAAGTAAATGGACATTGATTTATGACTTGTCGAAGCCTCACCGAGCTTAGTTCCTGAATATTTTTGCTTTGATTTCTTTCCTTAATCTATTTTTCTTCTCATTTTAATCCCAGCCACTCAATCAGTTAACCTTCTCTTTCGGTGATATCTCTCTCTTCAGATGGTGTGGATGGGAAACAGGCACGTCGCACCCAATCCAGCTCCCCACTTGGGGAACTCTTTGACCATGGCCTGGACAGCTGGGCTTGCATGTTCTTTGTGGTGACCGTATACTCCACTTTTGGCCGAGGGTCCAATGGTGTCAGCGTTTTTATCCTCTACCTGCTCCTCTGGATGGTTTTGTTCTCATTCATCCTTTCCCATTGGGAGAAGTATAATACAGGGATTCTCTTCTTGCCTTGGGGCTACGATATCAGCCAGGTGGTAAGTCAACCAGCCTTTTTGCCACACTCGTTTCCAACAGTTGCCTTAAGAGAGGGCAGAGATCTGGCTTATTTTGATTCTCTGGGGTTTCGTTTAGTTTATTGTCATTGCACATCGTACAACAAACTTGAATGCCATCTTCAGTGTACATTATAATTACACAGAAAAAAACCACAAACACACATCCTTCACGTTCTATAACCTTGATGGCGAACCTATGGCACATGTGCCACAGCTGGCACGCATAGCCCTCTCTGTGGGCACGCATGCTGTCGCCAGCTGCTCTTCTGATTTCCAGCATGCACTTGCGCACCGGCTAGCTGGTCTTTGCAAGTTCCAGAGCGCTGGAAAATGGCCTGAAATGGTCCAAAAATGTTTTTGGGCCATTTTCAGGCCACTTTCCAGCCAAAAACAGCCTGAAAGCAGCTTGAAAACATCCCACAAAACAGTCTGAAGAAAGCCCCCCAAAACAGCCACGAACAGACATGCATGCACTGGTCAGCTGGTCTTCAGGTTTCGCACATGCACATGCGTTCCGGTTTGTGTGCTCAGTGCCGGAAAGGTTCACCATCACTGTTCTATATAATTAAAATTGAAAACCCGATATTGCATTGATATTGCGCTATACCGTAGAATTCAATATAGTTACTGCCCTGGAATAGAAGCTGTTTTTCAGCCTNTGGCTAGTGAGACCTTGCTGAAACGTTACCAAGACAATCTCAATCTTACACGGGAAAAGACCCAAATATAACCAGATCAGCATACCTACACCCGTGAAAATCTACAAAAACAAATATCCATCCATCCATCTATCTATCTATGTCTGTCTGTCCGTGCGCACTCACACACACACTGTATATGGGTGTATGCATAATTTATTTATTTTGTTATGTTTATGTAGTGTATATTGGAGGTGGTGACCCCTTGCAAGCTATATGCAACAAAATTTCATTTTAATGTATGCTGATTGGTGTATTTTCCAAGTGACAATAAAGTTACTCTAAATTCTGCTCCAGACAAAAAATGTGAATGCACAGAAGGGGGGTGGGGAGTTTCTGTGTGCCCAGCCTTGTTTTCAGGTTTAACTTCATTTGCTCTCTTCTCTTTCCATTTAGGTGAGGCAGCTTAGTAAACACTTCAACATCAGAATCTTTTCTTTACAAAAGCCCAGCTCTGATTGACTAGGCATTGTAAAGGTATCATCGGAGGAAAATGTCAGCCTGCGGTCTTCAGAGGCACTGTAAATTTGGTAGCCTGTGTAAATATACTTCAACCATCACCATGGAACTAGATTTAACCTGCTTTGGATGCTTTATGGGCAAAGGACATGTAGGACCCAGAAACCAGAGAGCCCTGTTGTTCATGTCTCCTCCCCTGCTGCTTCATGCCACCTTCCAGAAATGTGCAGACAGTAAAACTACATGATCAGGAGAGGACCTCATGGAATCTTCAAAGAAAGATCATCAGGCACAAAGGCATGGACGGTGGCTTCAGAACTGTAAGATTGCCACAGAAACGTCATCGTGGCTATGCTGAGAACGAGGGGCCCAGAAATGGACCCTTGGGAACTGAAGTACATTATTGCAAACTCTCCCACATCCTAAAATCAGAGATCCAAGAGGGTTATACAAGAGGGGCTTAAAAAAAAAGAAACAATTGATTCTTCTAAAGAGCTCGGAGGTCACAACTTCATTAAGCCATGAATAGTCAGTTACATTTTTCCAAATGCCTTTTTTTTATCCTCTCCCTCCAAATTGCGGCTCATGCATGCGAAGAGAGAGTGGGGCCACAGCAAATGCTGTTATTTCAAGCATTGGGGAGGACTGAGTAACAGACATTCTTCCTTGTTGTTTATCATAGGAGAAAGTAAAGATTGTGATAAACAACATTACCATCTTATGAGTTAAGGTAGGCTTGCATCAGAATTGTTTATTAGGTATGATGCATACTCTTTCCGAGTGATACTGCTTTTCTTGGGTACAATTAATGGAAAAGAAGAAGTGCGAGTGATTTTGATCCCCACGTTCGGTTTTAGAAATGGTTTGTTTCTGTTTATTATCTGGTTGGGAATCTTGAACGATTGAGTGATGGTGAAGACCCAGCACTGATTTTTCTCTTCTGTTTGTACTTTATTTGAAGAAGATTTTTTTTTGTTTATGTATGTGTGCTTAAATGAAGAGTGCATCCTAAACCCATTTTATTTTTTTTGGAAAGGTTGCACCCGGAAGAAAGGGAGCACAGAATTTTCTTTCCCTATGTAATTAATGGCAGAGGCAACTTTATGAATGGTTTGATAAGGAGGTCCACTTGTTTCATTTTCTTTTTGTGGATGACACTTTCCATTCCGTAGAAAACATTTGAGTTGTGAAATTATTATTTATCTTTTCTTTTGTAAACACGAAACATTATGTCAAAAAACAAAATGTACGCAGTGTAAAATCCTAGAACTAATTCTTGCCTTCATTCCTACCCCTTCTCTTCTGTAAATAGTTTTATTTTTCTGATTCTCAAGTCTTACCCCAAATGCTACGTCTGGTATGGCAATGAACGAGGAAAGCCCCTATTCTCATTATTGGCAGGAAAAAGAAATTTCTAGGCATGGAGGGCAAACAATTCTGACTTTTTTTTTTGTTTCCTTATATTCCATTGCTATGAAGCAAAACTTGAAATGGGGGTAGGGGGGCTTTTTATTCGTATCAAAGCACTGCACATGGAGTAAAACTTGGGTGTAAAGAAGAATAGAACTTGCTTGAATATTTGACGTTGCAATGGTTAGAATAAAATAAATCAGTTGTGAATCATAAGCGGCAGTAAGAAACAGGGCATGTAATTATAATCTCTTGGAACCATTTTCTGTTTTTAAGAAGGTGGTCAGTTCATAGAAGGCTCTGCCTTTACAGTTAAGCAATGAATCATTGTAGGAACATTTGGTCTTCGGTCTCTTTCTTTGGGATAATAGTGTTTGTCTTGGAAATAAAGGGGTTGTCAGATCAATGGTATAGTTTTGCATGGGCTACTGTGGCATAAGAATCCTTTAGACAGAAAGGGAGGCTATCCACAGGAGCCAATATTCTTGGGAAGCAGGGTTCCTTATATGTATGCAGGCTTAATGTAAGCTAGCAAATGATCTCATTAGATTCTGCCTAGAAGCATGCATATTATATAGGAATATCTACACTTGTGATGATCAAGAATAGTGCCATCGCAGCTTCTGGCTAACATTCGCTTTTGCATGAGCTTGCTGGCATGTTATATGAGGCAAATTTGCCTGTCTGTCTTCAATGGAAAAAAATGTGATTCTTCTTTCCTACCTATCAGGGCTTCTCAATAAGGAATTTGGTGCCTTAAATGACTCTCCTCAAGTTGAGGGAAAAGTCAGCTGTCTTTAAAAAAAAACCATTCTTTAAGTGTCCGAGTTAAAGGAGTAGCACCTTTAAGCAGGAAAATAGATTTGTGGGTTTTTCTTTATTTTATTATTGATTTAAAACTGATTGCAAGTTCGGTGAGAGTCAAATGCACCATTGGTGGGGTTTTAAACCCCCTGTTTGGGTTCATCTCTACTGTTCTGAAAATAAAGGTACTGAGTATTGAAGTGGTGGACATTTTGTCACTTCAAGAGGTGGGTGTAACCACTGGCTTCAAGTTCTCCTTGAACCTAACCTCATCTTGCTTTCTAGATTACCTCAGTGAATGGAAGATGGCATAGAATGTGATGGGGGCAGTTGTAACCGGTTCTTCAATAGCGTGCCATTCCCCTTACATCCTTTTTTTGCCATTTCAAATAATTATTCCATTTTATGTTCCAAAAAAACAGATGTTTGTTCTGCCTTGGTTGACTGTTGTCTAGGTATCTGTGCTTTGGCCCTTGAAGCAAACCTTGGAGATACAGAGGATGATTCCTGGGCAAAGCAACTCTAGGGGCCTGATGCCACGTAGCTCTTTTCCAGTCCCTCCACAGTCCAGCAAGATTCAGCTTCCGCTAGCAAAGCTGAATCCAAAACGTGGGTTGCATAGAGAAGCAGATATTGTAAGGGCTGGGCCCAGAAACCGTTTGAATAGCCCTCATATATTAGAATATAGCGGTTCAGAACTAGGCATGAACAGCAAGAAAACCTGTGGAATGCTAGCTAGCTAGAACCCTGATGATTTGTGGTTGGTGTAAGTCCAATAAAAATTATGCATTGGGGCTGTGTTCATTTTGACTTGCAGTAGTAAATCATTCAAGGGTTTAAATCTTACATAGATTGTTGACTGTTCTCCTCCGTGATTTTCAGGAAAGAGTATGTTGGCTAAAAATATTTCATGAAGACTGGCATCTACCCACAGATTCAATGAAGATGAGTGTCCCCCATCCCACCCCTCCCTGTGCCGTTTTTGCTTGAAACGTAATCCTAAAACGTACAGTTTAATAGTGATGGTATTCCAGATCTCCCCAATCAATACCCATTGAACTTGTTTCTCAGTTCAAAAGAAAGCCAGAGTAGGTAGGAATCCATTCTCCACATTTAAGTTGACTCTGGAATGCAGGCAAGGTAAGTGCCCTTTTCAGAGTAGGTTCTGTTTGGAAGCAAGAATAAACATAAATATTAGACCAATTGGTTTTTGATTAACTCTGTGATTAACCTTTGGTGTTTTCAGAAAGCCACTGGCTGTCAAGTAAAAATATGAAATCATTAGTTCTTTGTAAGATACCATACCTGGGGAGAGGGGCAGAACATGGAAGAGATAGCTTTACTTTTTCCCGCTTTTTTTCTCCAGAAGGGGAAAATGATAACTGGGTCTCTTTCGGGGAAGAGGGTGTGTGCCTTGGTCTTCATAGGTGCTGACTGCCAGGAACCGTTTCCTACCCTTCTTGGGCAAGGCAACTTCTGGCTTGTATTCTTTGAAGCATTAGGTCCAGCAGATTCTGGGCAGCACAAGCTGTGTCAAAGCAAAACTGACTGTACAGATTACTATTGTTGCTAGTGGGGGGAAAAATACTTTCGATAAGAAACTATATA